GGGTGGTTGGGCAGGGTGAGCAGCCGGGGTGGTCTGTTGGATTTCTGCTGTGTAATGGTTGGTTGCTTACTGCCGGTCTCCCTTTTGTCTGCAAAACCCTTTCTTTTTCCAGATTTCCTAGAGCAAGTGAAGCGGTGTGGAGGCAGACCTCTCCCGGGTACTGCTGCTGTCGTCTTGCTGTGCTGGCAGGACAATTAATAAAGCCCTGTGGGTTTGCTGTATTGCAAACGACAGATGCCTGTAACTTTAACAAGCACTGCCTTTTTCTTTTTTTTTTTTTTTAAGCCAGGCAGACTCTCTAAAGTGGAGCATTAACCCATCTTGGGGAGAAGAGGTGATCAAAACGCTAATAAATCTGTGATAAAAAAATGAACTGTACTTCTTTAACAGGGTTGCATTTAACTTGCTGTCCCTAGGCATTAAATACTGATTTAGAGATCTGTACATTAGGTACTGGGGAGACCTGTGCAATCATCTCGATTGTGTTTTGGCAAGGCGTTACTGAGCTCATTTTCTTCCTTTATTCCTATCTGGTTATCCTAGGATCCTTGATTTGCAACAAGCCATGGCAGGAAATATGATCTTGATAAATATTTATGGCTGTCAGCCATTTTATAGTTGGGTATTACTCCTGGAAAAAATATAAGGACATTTTCTCATTATCTTCTGTCAGATGGACAGCTTATCCACTTACACGGCTGTGAAATTGCTGTGTATGGCTGGAAACCTTGCGGTTCTGCTTTTGTAATACAAACCCTGCTGCTTTGGGGATGGCAGGCTGTGCTGAACGGGGTCAGCGCCTGGAGAGCAGGATCAGTCTCCAAACTGCACCTGGCTGGTCTTGAGTATGCAAGTCAAGTCAGACTGTCCCTTCTGCACTTGGCTTCATTGCAAGATCCCCTGTGCAGCTGCCCGTTATGGTATGGATGGGATCATGGGGGCTGGTACCTGTGGGACTTTCAGTGCTGTATATCAGAGTATTGCTAAGGATGCGATGACTTGCAGCCCCTCTTGCGTTGAGGGGCAGTGCTGTGTGCTGACTTTGTGCCCTCGGGGTCTTGTTCATGTTGCTCTGTGGCAGCTCTGAGCTGGGAGAGTGTTCCCAGGACAGCTAAAAGTCGCTGGTCCGGGCAGTTATTCCAGAAGAGTGAGCAAGGAATGACCCTGATCTCATCTTCTTGCAGAAAATGCTTCTCAAAGTAGTCTGTTAGCTAGGTTTAACACTGCTTTATTAATACTTTTTTTTTTTAGGACAACTGTATCTTTTTATCTTTAGGAAAGATTGCGGTAGGTGTGCCAAAATAAAATTGAACAGACAGTGAAAGCCCGCTGCCTGCAGCATGGAGAGAGAAAGTGTCGTTGCACTTTTCTAGAAGAGTTGGTCATTCCTGTAGAAACAAAAGCAAACTCTTCTGGCTGGGCTGCTTGGCTTTGAGAGGTGAGTGTGCAGGAGATAGCTGTTCATCTTCTGTTTCTCAAGGTGGACTCAGTGTTGTTTTCTGCATCTCTGGGCTTGGTAGAAACCCATCACCCACACTTAGCAAAGCCTCAAAGACACCTCCCCCACCAGAGCCACCTCATTACTTGTATCTGGACCCGCTGTAAAAGCGATGTGGCCGTGGTGGTTCCCCTGTCTGGGGGACAGAGCTAAAACGAATGCCTGGATGGATGCTGGCTTTCCATAATGCTGTTACCAACAGTCAGTAACCACCCCTCCAGCCCCAAATTTATGGTTCAGCTTTTCCAGAAGAGCAGCTGCTATCTAAGCAAGAATGTTAAAAGCCCACTGTAATGTGAGGGGGGTTCCTGGAAATGAGAATTGGACCCAGGTGAGCAAGCTGGTGACCGTGGTGAGAACGTCTGGTCTGCCACAGAGTGGCTCAGATGGGCGTTGGGATGTTGTGCGGTCTGGGAGGTAGCGGCATGCTCGCGGCCCAGCGCCACCATCAAGCTGACACGCTGGATCAGCCCCTGGCTTGTCTCCCTGGTTCAGTTGTTCTGCTACAGTCACGGTCTCCATGTCCGTGGCCTTTGCTGTGAAGATCTGCAGCTCTGAACTCTAGGTGTGACTTGTTTGAGCTGTGGTTGACTGGGGCGATGCCTCGTCTTGTCCCCTATATCAGATAACTTCTTCAGAGGGGGTTCATTGCCTTGAGAGGCTGTGAGGCAGCACTCACCCAGACAGCTTTATACAAGTAAGCAGGCTTGCAGGAGGAGTTGCGGGTATCTCAGCGCTTTGCGTGCTGAACCTGGTTGTCTGTTGTTATTAGGATGAGTTATTCAAGGAGGTTTTGGCCCATCAGATTTGTAGAACAGCACTTGGGATTTCTGGTGGGGATATTTGAAAGGGGAATTCTCTGAAAGCATTGATGCCAGTTTGTGTATTTCCAAGCTGTTGGCCTCATAAGTGCAAAAACTGTTAAAAACAGAGTAATTCGTCGAGGCTCTCAGCAGCTGTGCCCCATTTTCTTTACAGTGCAAGTCGGGCAGGTGGGGCTCACAGTCTGTACACTCACCACTTTCTGTACATTCATCAGTTGGAAAGATCTCTGGGGAACTTCATTTAACCTTTTTTTTGTCCCAAATGAAGCAAAGAGCCTTTTTTAAGAGGGTTATTTTGTGGTAGTTGTCAGTTATGCTACATGACTCATCTTGTTTTCCTGCAGCTTCTTCTCTGTTAAGAGGCAGCTGTGCCAATCCGGGAAATGGGCTTGGGAAGACATCATAGGTCTCTTTTCCCCTCTCTTGCTTTTAGGTGACGGAGTAGAGAGCAATTGTATGAATTCCTTACTTCTTCCCATTTGAAGATATCTTTGCCCCGGTGGTATCTGCAACCTAAATATGCTAAATGAAATATTAAATGTTATCCTTCTGTATGGGAGTTTTAATACTCCTCCACCACCTTTCAATTTTGACCGGATTTGGGGTTTTTTGTCTCTTTTTTTTCTTTTTTTCTTCTGGATGACTGTAAATGCTTAGTGTCTTACAGAACTGTTTTTAGACGTACTCTCCTGCCCAGGTCTGAAAAACCAGCCTCCCTACCCATGTCTTCATGTGTACACCCTTGGAAGCTCTTTGTAGCAGCATATTGCTGGAGGAAGAACATGCATGGTTTATGTTCTACTAGTATGGATTACTAGGATTATGTGGACTCACGCTTGCTCTGTGGAGCATACAGGGTATAAGTGGCTTTGGTGTGCTATGGATTGCCCAGTGAATGATTTGTGATTATTTAAGGCTGGGGTTCTCAGCTCAGGTGAGAAATGGGCTACTGAGGACTTCAGTCTCTTACTGTCTTCTCATGTATTTTCTGTACTCTGCTTCCCTTTGGTTTGCTGCTGGCTGGCAACCACTTACTGGGATTGCTCAGCGTGCATGTTAGCTTGCTGGCAGCACCTTGTTCTTCTTTTCTGACCAGCAATATTTATTGACAAGACTTTTTAAAAAAGTCTTCAGAGCTAGGATGTCAGGGAGTTCATCTGTGCAACTCCCTGCTGCTTTACAGCTTGTTGCACAGCTCTGTTCTCTGCCCCCTCCAAATGCACAGCGCAATGACTGTGTCTCACTGGTGTGCTATTTTCCTGGACACAGAGGGTAGAGGCAGGCTGTAGGTGCAAAAGGAGGGTTTATCAGTTGCATGCTTCCCTCCTTCACGTGCATTGGTTGTGTCCTTTCCTTCTCCTCCATTTCTTAAACAGAAAGGTTGTGCACAGCAGGTAGTCTGGTAGGTCGCTGCTGGCTTCTTGTAGGGGCACCAAAGTAAAATAGTGGCGACCAAGCCTGCTGAAGATGCCTGTGTAGCTTGGTGGGTATCACACAACTCCAGAATGTACATTTGTAGTCAGCTGGGCGCAGTGTAGAAAACGAACTGTTTTGTCTCCAATTTGCTTATAACAGAAAAGGTGTTCTTCACCTGAGCTTGGTTTGGATCACAGCTCTGTCAGCATGGGAAGGCTGCTCTGCAGAACTGCTCGAGTCCTGCAAATGGGACAACAGTAATCCACTGGATCTGACCTGTTTTCTACGCTGGGGTCCAGCACTAGGGAGGTTGGACTAGATGATCTTTAAAAGTCCCTTCCAACCTAAACTGTTCAAAAATTCTACAATTAATGGATTTATTTTCTTGGCAGAGGACGGCAGAACTGGGGGGAATGACACTTCAGAGGCTTTGCTTGGGAGCATGGCTTGTATGTTGTCTTCAGATGGACCTGGCTAACCCTTGTCATGCTGTAGATTTATAGTTTTCTGTAGGCCTTGTGCTACCCTGCCCCACACCCTTGGTCTGTGCTCCTAACTGTGAAGAGACTATCTTGTGACGAAAATTTTGGGAACATAAGTCCACACTCAGCATCATTTTCCATGGGCTGGAGCGGGTTAGACAGAAGGTCGAGTGGTTTGGCCAAGTTTGTTTCACCTGAAGGGAGGCTGCGAGCCCCAATTTGGTATCTTCCCAGGCTCCCATTTGGTATCACTTTCTGCTTTTCAGGCTCTTCTGGTCCCCCCGCCGGCAATGGGGGGGGTCGGATGCTTTGCTTTCTCCCTATTCCCCTCCATAGCCCTCCTGCCCCTCCTGCTTTCATCTTCACTAGGTCCACCTGGGACTCCCTTCAGCTCTGCTGGGGATCTCGAATATTCACCTTCTCCTCTCCTCTCTGCTTTCCTCAAATGGCAAAATATTATCACAGCAAGTCCTGGATTTAGGGAAAAGTTAACATCTAGATGCTAGTGTTGATTTACTTTGGTTGCTGAACAGTCATTTCCAGGAACAACCCCATCTCTATGTGAACTGCTGGAGCTGGGGAAGGGTGTACCTGTGCTGCCCAGGTCATCCCTGGGAGGCTTGTTTGGGGTATTTAGCTCAAGGAACAGCTTGTTAGCTCTTTGCTTCCACTGAAGTTTGTAGTTTTCCCCCTAAGTTAGTGTTTTGGTGATTGGGGAGGGGGTGTTTCTAAAAAAGGGGGAGAACTAAGAAATGCTCAATTTCCCCCCTTTCCCACCAGGATTTTCCTCATATAATGGAGGAGGGATGAACGGCACAAGCACAATGATGGATTTCCTGGAGGAACCTCTTCCTGGTGTGGGCACCTATGAAGATTTTAACACTATAGATTGGGTGCGAGAGAAGTCCAGGGACCGGGACAGGCACAGAGAGGTAAGGTTTCTTACTACTCCTTGCTGACACTGAAGGCAGAATAATTAACTGGCTAGAGCTAATCTTAGTTCTGATTGCCGGACTAGGGAGGCACTTAACTAGAGAGACACCTGGGGTGGAGGTATTGCCGTTAGGATGGGAACTGATGCAGGGTCTTTAGTTTGAGGAAAACAAACACTGAATTGAACATGTTGCAGTTTATCAGTTGCTACTTCTCTTCTGAAGGCATTTATTTATTTAAAAAGCTTTAGTGGATTTCTGATACATATCTTAAATGCCTTAATGGCACATTTTCTTAGGCCATGTTAAACTTGCTTGAGACTGAAGCACAGCAAAATCTGCAGTCCTACTCCTGGAAGGTGCATGCATGATTTGGAAGAATTACATTACTGTTGCATGGTTTATAACAGAAGAATCTAAGCACCCATGATCCTGTTTATCGATAAAGAAACAGGCTGTTTTTCTGCTCATGCGATTGCACTTGTGAATAATGCTCTCTCTATTGGAATTTTTTTGTGCTGCATGTTTGAAAAAAATAAGTGCAATTCTTTCAGAATTCATTCCTAGGACTTCACCACTCTGCAATTAAAGGAATCTGCTTAGAAAGCAAGGGATGCTTTAAATAAAGTACCAATGTCCCCAGCATGCTCCTGATTAATGAGAAACCCTTGCTGGCAGAACTCTTGTAGGGCGATGACTGAACTCAACTTGTCTATTTGCTTGCCAAAATATTCTTTAATTTTTTTTTGTTTCCTGAGCCTCACAAAACAACTTGTGTCTTAATAACAGTGCACAAACTGAATGCAGTCCACCCTCAGTGTGTGAGTACATACAATACAATATAATGCCCAAACTTGAGCCAGTACAGACCCAATTAAGGAGCTCCATGCCCCCACTACCTCCTGCCCAAAAAACTGTTCCCATCTATGCATTAAGAGTACAAACTCAAAAGACTTCTCACACGTATGCCTGCATGCACAGATGCATGTATACAAAGATGATGCCCATCAGTGTGGAACAGGACGATCTATTTCCGATCTGCAGAGATGCTTGTATGAAAAGACAGCTTCTGTCTTTATCGAAAGAAGTTGAAATCAGGTCAAGGCAGAAGTTACTGCTGGCCAAAGAGGTGTAGGGTTAGTCCAATGAAAAGAAATAGAAAGGAAATAGTTTTGGCACCCACCCCAACCCCTGCCTTGATTCAGTAGCAGTTCTACTCATGGTCAGTGCGGCATGTGAAAGACAAAAATCCAGAGAAAAAAAACAAATTATGCTCATTCGGGCAGAAAGGATTCTTGCTTTATTTATTCCTCATTTAGTGAATATTAGTTGTTTGCATCAATGTGCCTTTTTATCTGGGAATAATAGTGGTGTACTGGAATGTTTCCCTTGGGAGAGGCAGCTGGGTAATTGGGGCACACAATAGCTGTTCTGTCACCCTGTTGTCTGCCTGTCAAGAGCAGTGAGACTGACAGGCTTCAGCCATCCCTGCTAGACGCAGGCAGACTGGGGCCAGAGCCTGTGAGGAGCTCACTCTCCTGGGGCATCTTGGATGGGTCTGAGTCCCACTTTCCAGTGCCACCAGCACAGCCTGGTTCCCAGCCTGACCGTTCTTCTGTGTTGGTATTAAACCTGCGACCTCCCTCATGCTCCGGCTGAGCAGCGCTTGGCAGAGTCTCCTCTGCTCAAAGCAACATCTAGTTTGTATTGCAGACGTTGGGGCAGTAGCTGGAGACTATGAAATGGTGGTGACAGCTTCTGTTCGCTCTCACAGTTGGTGGGTATCAATACCCATGAGGCACTATTGATAAATTGCTGAGGGCAAAGTGCTTGAACGGTTTCTTCAGTGTTCAGATTTGCTTGTGGCATCAGGATATTGGTAACTTGCTATTACTAACAAGTAATGGCTTTAAAAGGGATGAATTTTGTCTTGGTTTTATGCAGAAGACACCTAGGAGGAAAGTGTTACTTGAATATTTTGGTTTTTGCTGGGAAAAATGGAAGTATCCTTGATCCGTTCTTGTACATCTCCTAACCAGAGCTGCATTTACTGTACCGGCTGTAAGAGCAGCCACTGGCTGATACTTTTTCTCTCACCCCTTAGAGCAGAATATGTCATGGTAGCTGTTGTTTTGAATGTTAGGGGCTAATCTTCCACTAACAATGTAGTTTTTAGAGCGTTTACACCAAAGTATATCAGTGTCTTAATGGATTGTTGTTTCTTTTTGAAAAAACTTTTCTAGATCACCAGTAGAAGTAAAGAGTCCACCTGGGCACTGATACACAGTGTGAGCGATGCCTTTTCTGGCTGGTTGTTGATGCTTCTCATTGGGTTGTTGGCAGGTAAGAGCAAACCTTAATTTAAAATTAAGTCCTGGTTCTACACTGCAGCATCAGTATTGATTCCTCCCACAAACCCTGGCAGGACGCTGGAGCAGGAGTCTTTGTCCCTGGAGCGAGGGTCGTGTGAGGGACTGCACTGATATTGATTGCACTGCCGCTGCTTTGCAATTTACAGAGAATTATTTTTAAATGCTTTGAGGCCCTGTTTGTGTAAATACCCAGATACAGAACTGAGACTGACAGCTGTCCTGGACACTGCTGCTGGTCGAGAGCTCTGAAATAAAAAAAAAAATAAAATCATCAAAGCAGAGCTGATCAAAATGCTGGATCAGGGAAGAGTGTCATGCTCTGCATCATCTTTGCTGAATGCTCTTTGTTGACACTGGAGAGGTTAATGCCAAGGACTGCTAGCAAGATTGTCTTCTTTTTTGTTGTTGTTTTTTTTTTTTTTTTTTTTTTTTATTTCTATTGTATTTGGATATAAAAAGTGAGAGGTGTTTCTTGGGAAGTCGGGCTTCTTTCAGAGGTTGGCTGACTGAGACCTTTTAAATGACTTCAGAAGTGAACTTTGGACCCAGTGCAGGAGAAGTAAATCAGTTGGATACAGATCTTCCCGACAGAAAGCAGCTAAGCATTTATCGTGAGGAATGAAATCAAATCTTCTGTTAATATTTACATAGGAAAGCTGCTGGTCAGTTTTTCATTAACTGGAAGATTTGCTAAATGATTATTGCTACCTCTGCAGCTTGTGCTAGCACTTGCCGGTACAGGTCGGAGGTCTCTGTTCCTGGCCTCTGTGTTGATGTGGCATTTTAGTTGAGAACAGAGCCGATTGCAGCACTTATCTTTGGGGATTTTAGGAGTTAACAGCAAAATAAGAAGTTACTTGAAGATTCCTGTTTTAAAATCTGAATTACTTTCTGTACTAGCTCTCTGCTTGCTTTGTTTCACTTGGCACAGTTGTAACTTTTTTTTTTTTTTTTTTTTTTTTTTAAATTGGGGGTTGGAAATTCAAAGTTATTCCTGTCACAGTCTTAGCATTGTTAGTGTAACTCCTGGATTCCAGCTCTTGTGCTGCTGACTGGTGACACGCGTCCTCCAGAAATGCAATATGTCCCCCTCTGCCTCTCAGACTATTTGCTGTTCTATATTTAATAAGTGCTCTTTCAGTGTAATTGCGAAGGATTAATTTCTATTGATGTAGGGTGGGTTTGAACACAGTTTGCAGTGGTCAACCTTTGAAATATTATTAGGGATGCTTTGTTTCCTGACCTACTCTTTTCAATATATATATATACTTAAGCAAATCTTCCTTTTTAGCTCTCTATAGAATAAAAGTTAATTGTAGGCAAAAATACCAGTACTGCTCTATTTGTTGGTAGGTGAGTCAAATTAGTAGGGCAAACTGTAACCTTCAGATATTTGAGTCTGCATAAGGTGATTATTAAATTTTATTTCTTTTTTTTTTTTTTGTCTTTAAACTAGGTTCCTTAGCGGGTCTGATAGACATTTCTGCCCACTGGATGACAGATTTGAAAGAAGGAGTGTGTTTAGCAGGCTTCTGGTTTAACCATGAGCACTGTTGCTGGAAATCCAACACAACCTTTACAGACAGAGACAAGTGTCCTGAGTGGAAGAGCTGGTCCCAGCTGATCCTTGGCCATGGAGAGGTGACGTGTGCCTACAACTGTTTTTGCTGCCAAATGTCCCGTTTCCCCAGCCGGTATCGTTCCTTTTTAGTCATCTGGATGTATATGCCAGAAGTGCAAGCTCTAGGTGGTTCAGTGCTTTAACATTCATTGCTGGGGTCTTCCAAGGGTGTAAATAAACTCAAACAAGTTACTTATGTTTTTTCCTTGGAGGGGGTGAGGGGAAGCAGAGCATTGACACATTTACAAGGGCAGTGTTTTCGTCATGTGTCTGAGACTGGCTGCTTGGAGGATATTTTGCCCATGAACGTTTTAGAGGAATGCCAGATAAGCTCAGGTCTTGTGTTTCTGGCAGCTCTATCCAGTGGAGCTGCCTGCTTGACTGGGGCAACACTTAACCCCAGTACCAAGCTACTTGTGTACCTTGTTTGCTATTTTATATAACTGTCTTTGGAGATATGATTGGTTCACATCCCTGTAACCCAGCAAATTTAACTTGTCCTTGAAACCTCAGACTTACTGTAGTTCTCTTCATTTTTGGCTGATAACTGTATGTGGGATTACCTGCTATTTCTGTGTGCCTGCTTCAGTGCACAGGTTTGATGTGATCTCAGTTGAAATTATCTAATTTAAGTAATTTTCTCTGCATTTCAGGGGGCTTTTGCATATATTCTCAACTACTTCATGTATGTTATCTGGGCCTTGCTGTTCTCCCTTCTTGCTGTGTTACTTGTGAAGGGGTTTGCTCCTTATGCCTGTGGCTCAGGGATCCCAGAGGTGAGTGAGAATGAAAGTGGGTTGAGTTTTTTTAAGGTGGAGTAGGGATCCACCATCCAAAGATTACGCATGCCTGCTACAGAATAATAATTTCTTGCACTTCAGATGGTGGCTTAATATATGGGGTTTTTTTCCAAACTATTCCTGAAACATGGCTAGTACTTAAGTCTCCATACAGTCCCTTTAAAATGTTTTGGCATTCACTGCAGGAGCTACAAACAAAAGCACACCATTTGGGTAAGACGGGCTACAAAAGCTAGCTTCAGATTTTTCTTCAGCAGGGATAGTAGCCCTGAAGGAAGGACTCAAATGGCTGTTTCTGCCTTTGCATGGAGGGATATTTATACTGACTCTATATTACTTTTGGTAGCTGGGAGGGGACTCTGAAAGCAGTAGAGGAAAGCTGAGGGCAGGATTGGGAGTGCCTAGTAAAACAGGAGCTCTGACCAGGGCTTGAATGAAAGCCTGTAGAGCTTTGTGTGCTTGACTTCCAGATCAAAACTATCTTAAGTGGTTTCATCATTAGAGGCTACCTGGGCAAGTGGACGTTGATCATCAAAACCATCACCTTAGTGTTGGCGGTGTCCTCTGGGCTGAGCCTGGGCAAAGAGGGGCCTCTGGTGCATGTCGCCTGCTGCTGTGGAAACATCTTGTGTCATCTCTTCACCAAATATAGGAAGAACGAAGCAAAGCGTAGAGAGGTACGGAGAGACACTGATGTTGTAAAAATGTTGAGGTAGTGTGGGGAGACTGGTAGGTCTGGCACTTTCCCCTGACTGTAAATTGTTCTGTTTTGGCTTGTTCTTGGTGTGCCTCAGCACAACACCCAGTTGGAGCAAAAGCCATCTCGGTTAGGAAGTGACACCAAAGCATCTCCCCAGCACAGGTCGTCATCTCATTTGTGATGGGAGCGTTCACTGGCACTAACCTGCTGCAGGCCCAGTTCTGCAGCACTTGTTTGCGTTTGCCATGCAACTCCATAAACTGTTGGGACTGTTTGAGGGACCTGGACTTGGCCATAGGAGTAGAATGAAGGGCTTTGCTTTCAAGGACACAGCAATGGGCATGGCGTAAGGACCAAGCTAACATCTAACATAAAGCTCATGAGTGTTTCCTCACAGTGCTCTAAGGCTTTTCTCTGGACAAGTCACTGGAAAATGGTTAATGTGAGATGCATAGTATCACACTGGCCAATTTACCTTCCGCTAAACCAAACCTGACAGAATCTACCCAGTGGGCCGGCATGGTTTTGGGTGGCCCCACAGCACCTCCAGTTACACTGTGTTACCCTTTTCTGAGAAACCGTATGATTGCGAGACAGGCAAAAGTGGGAAAAGTCAGTGTGTTCCAGGAGGTGAAATTACTGCTATTCTGTTTTACTGAAGCTTTATCTAAGATGAAAGCATAGTATGAAATCAGCTGAAACAGAAAAAGGTAATTGCCAGTGATGCCACTTCTACTAATTGGGGGTGGGACATTTGAAATGCTAACACCAATGTTTTTGTAGCTACTTGCAGCCCTTCTCCTTAGGGAACAGGCTCACTCCACCTTTTCCCTGCTGTTTTTAAAACAGGTCAGACCCTGGCTTACTGTGCACTCACTGGAGATAAAAATTGTACAAATTTAGGTAAAGACAAACAAAAAAAAGGGGGAAGGTTGGGGGGGGATGAAAATGTCTGACTGTCTTTGGGTTCTCTCTTAGGTTTTATCAGCAGCTGCAGCTGCTGGTGTGTCTGTAGCTTTTGGTGCACCGATTGGAGGAGTGCTGTTTAGTCTGGAAGAGGTAACATCAGCATTTTCTATTAGCTCTGGGCGAGCTGGTTTATTGCAAGAACTGACCCTGCTGGTTTAAAAATACAGTCCACTCATAACTGCTTGGGTGTGGAAAGGAGACCCTCTTGAATACTGATTGGTGGTGTATTTACAAGGCCAAGCAACCTAAAAGCTTATTGGGGTTTCAGGTAATTCTTATGAATACTGGAGAATTTATTTTGGATGATGTTTATCCATAGCTTTGCAATAAACCTGTTGGTTTCCCTTGGTCTGTCTGTGCTCAGCAACATTGACTGCTCACAGCCACAGCCTCTGTCATGTTTTCCGTATGTCCACTCTCTCCTGACAACTCTGTCCCAGGGTACCTGGGAACAAACTTATCTGGCTTATCAAACACCTTTCCTTCCCAAGGGACTTCTAATCCTTGTTCTTTTGATCCAGATGTGAAATGGATCACCGCTGCTAGCTTCAGAGCTTAGCTCGGAGGAGGAATGGGATGGTTTTGCTCGGCTGAGCAGTAGTCGTGGTGGTAGCTGTGGCAAGCACTGTTGTTTGGCACTTCTGGACTTTACAGAGCATGCAAGGCAAATAGTTCTCTCTCTTCAGCTCATAGCTGATTTGTAACAGCTTTTATTATCAGAGTACGTCGTCTGCACTTCAGGGGGCACTTGCTGCATTGGAAGTATGCAGGCCAGGACCCATCCCAGTCATTGCAATCTGTATTGAATGAGAGCTCAAAATAAAGCCTGGGGTGTTTGGCTGGAGAGGAGGGAATGTAGCCAGTGCACATCAATCTCAGTCCTTGCTTTTACTTCATGCAGTGGTGATTTTGTTACTGGGCAGCAATTGGTGTAGTGGGAAGTGTTAAAGTGACTGAATCTGCTTTGTTTTTCCTTTTTAGGTCAGCTACTACTTTCCTCTCAAGACGCTGTGGCGCTCCTTCTTTGCTGCTCTGGTAGCTGCGTTTACGCTGCGCTCCATCAACCCTTTCGGGAACAGCCGCCTGGTTCTCTTCTATGTGGAGTTTCACATGCCATGGCATCTTCTGGAGCTCGTGCCATTCATCCTTTTGGGAATATTTGGTGGGCTTTGGGGAGCTTTCTTCATTCGCAGCAACATTGCCTGGTGCAGGCGACGAAAGACGACCAAGCTTGGCAAGTACCCTGTGCTGGAGGTGTTTGTAGTGACTGCGATCACAGCCATTCTGGCCTTCCCCAATGAGTACACCAGAATGAGCACCAGTGAGCTGATTTCTGAGCTCTTCAATGACTGTGGGATTTTGGACTCATCCAAGCTCTGCGAGTATGTAAATGATTTCAACAGCACCAAAGGGGATGACCTGCCAGACCGAGCTGCTGGCCCAGGAGTTTACACTGCCATGTGGCAGCTGGCTTTGGCCCTTATAATGAAAGTCTTCATCACGATCTTCACCTTTGGCATGAAGGTGAGAGTTGCCTGTGAAGGAGCTCATGTTCTTCTCATCCTCTGTAGGAACCCTAGGTCCTAAGAGATTTATTTGCTCAATAAACAGACATGAGCTTTCCTCCCCAAGCTCTGTTAAGAAGGGGGCATGGTGATAGACTGCAATTATTTGTTCGGTGCTTGTAACTGAGGGCAGTAGAAACCTTTTAGCCTGAGGGTGGGCTTCAGATGCAGTCACTGAAGCTGGTGTCTCAGGGCTTCATGTCCCATTTTCCAGACACAGAATGCTTCTAAATTGTCCTACCTTAAGCCTTTTTGATATATATGCAATAGCTAATTGCAAAGCATTTGATATCTTAATTTGTAAATGCTTATTTATCATAGCTTTTCCTTGGTCAGATGGTTCTGAACTTGTTTGGTGGCAGCCTCCCGAGCTATGGATATAGTGCTTAGGTCTGAGCTTTCCTGCAGTGGGGTTCAGCAGGTGGAGCTGAACCCTGCCCCCCAGTCCTTGAGTGGTCCGTCTAGAAAGGCAACATCACCAGAGAGGTTTGGACATCATTGTTGCCGTGAGGCAGTCGCTGACACTCAAGGGCAATCATCAAGTCTGTGAGAAAGCTGTATGACAAATGTGTAAAGGAAAGAGGGGGGAGATTCTCTGACTTCAAAGAATAGGAGCTTTTGGAGTCCTGGAACAGCTGAAGTGCAGAGGTGAAACTTGCTGGCAGTGGCTCTGCTGGGTGTCACTTGTGCTGTGTGTGCTAATTCCAGGAACCCTCACTTTTACAGTGGAGTTTGAATTTCTGCCAGGGAAGAAGGATGATTCTACTCCCAGTACGTGAAGCCAGTGGAGCGGGAAAATCCTGTGCCTGCAATAAACACATACTCGTGTGGTTGGAAAGGCACAGGGGAGTGTTAGCGGTGTGTGAGTGAAGCTTTGTTATATTCTCTTGGGAAATAAGCTTTTGAAAAAAGCTTGTTCTGTTCCACGCTAACCTCTTGTGTGGCTGTTTCTCCTGCTCAGAGAGGAGTAGATGCAAACTGTTGCAGAGACTTCAGAGCATGAGGGTGCAGGAAGGGCAGAGGTGATAGAGCAAGGCATCCTTGCCAGTTTTAACTTCAGAGTAACCTCTAATTCAGTCCTGTTCTGAACTCCCATTGCTAGTCTTTGAAATGTCTGAGAAATGGCACATTTACTGATGTGTGTTTTCACAGGTCCCTTCTGGTCTCTTCATCCCCAGCATGGCGGTGGGTGCTATAGCAGGCAGATTGCTTGGAGTAGCCATGGAGCAGCTGGCCTATTACCACCACGACTGGGCCATCTTCAGTGGCTGGTGCAGTCAAGGAGCTGACTGCATCACTCCTGGCCTCTATGCAATGGTTGGGGCTGCAGCATGTCTAGGTAAGCAAGATGTCTTTTGAAGTCCAAGCTGTGGTTTGGGTCTTGGCTGGCCATGTTAAGAAGCGTAGTAGTGAAATGCTGCTGCTGTTCTTGCAGTCCATAGAAGCTGGGTTCATCTCAGGAACGGGAGACTTTTGCACTAGCATGTGCCATGTGTTCCTCATCCTGTTTGCGTTCTTTTGCCAGCACCAACCTATAGTTGGACATGACAGGTTTCAGTGGGGAGCCTCCTGAATAGGCAGCTAGAATAAATGAGACTGGCTAGGGACTTCAGATCTTCCTGTGGGGTTTTAATTCATTTTACTTCCTGTTCTGGCCTCAAATCTTAGGATGCAACTCTTCTTTAAAGTGCTCTGTTTTTTGGTAACACTTCTGCTTGGCTGAATTTGAGAAGTTGAGTGCACGTGACTGAACTTCACTTTCACTGTAATTCCCAATCCTCTCCTCCACAGAATAATATGTTTAACTCTTAAGGGACTACTTTACTGTATCAGCAGAAACTTGCATTTCAGGAACAATAAAAGCATGTGACCAAAACCTATCTTTGGCCTTTTTAAAGGTGGTAGACCTTCTTGTTTGCATGTAAGTGATGAAAAATAAATATGGTTCCACCTTATTAACTGTTCTCTTTACCACTGGACAGTACTAAAGGGTATGTGCCCCTTTAGGAGATGGTTATTGGAGCAAAACTCCTCTGAAATACTTGGGAGTAGCTTTGGGACTTGAATCTCAAAAGCATGATTTAAATATGCTGAGACAAAGTGCTGTTATAAAAAAAATGATGTCAATATTTAAGAAGACTCATCTGTTTTCTCTTGAAATGCCTCAACTGTTTTAGTGTGAAAACCTAAAGTGTAATGAACACTAGTCAAAATGTCTGAGTGAAAGCCAGCAAACTTGAAAGGTAAGTTGTCTGAAGCCCTTGCTGTTAGTGGACTTAATGCTAGTGACCAGAGGATGTCAGGATGACGCTTGCCTTTTGCATACAGCCTGTCAGAGGTCGCATTTCATGAATCTGCCTATGGAGGTGTGTATAAGGCCCTTCTATGGCATGGCCAGACTATTTAGCAGCTAGCTAAGTAACACAAGAGAAAGTTAGCCATCTTTTAAGGTTGCTTCTGAGTTCAGGGAAAGACCCATCAAAACCATGTAGCAAACCCTTGTAAGCCAGCCCATGGCACGATATTCTGGAAGGGACGGATGGTTTCAGTACTGTGTTCTGCTCGTGTTTGGCTTCCACTGTAATGCTGAATGTGATGTAGGAGTCCAACAGTACAACTGCTTGCTGATACGAGACCTTCTCTAGATGCATCAGCAGAGGATAGCTGTAGCAAACCTCAGAACAGCTCTCCTGCCTGGAAACCCTCAAAACTGCATGTTCATGTCATCTGTCTTCTGTGTTCTGTTTGTAGGTGGAGTGACCCGAATGACTGTGTCGCTAGTGGTCATTATGTTTGAGCTCACTGGTGGACTGGAATACATCGTTCCTCTGATGGCAGCAGCAATGACCAGCAAGTGGGTGGCTGATGCCATTGGACGGGAAGGCATTTACGATGCCCATATTCGCCTCAACGGATACCCTTTCTTGGAAGCCAAGGAAGAGTTCTCACACAAGACACTTGCAATGGATGTAATGAGGCCACGGAGGAATGACCCTCCTCTGACTGTCATCACTCAGGACAGCATGACCGTAGAAGATGTTGAGACCATCATCAATGAAACCACATACAGTGGCTATCCAGTGGTGGTGTCACGGGAGTCCCAAAGGCTTGTTGGATTTGTCCTCAGGAGAGACCTCATCATTTCAGTTGGTAAGAGGCAAGATACTGTGTACATAAATGATGCCATCAGAGGCCTTAAATGGCACCAGCTGTAATTTACTTGATGAGTTTAAACACCCAGTAGTGATGGTGTCTGTGCTTACTGGTGCCTGCATCTCCATCCCTGAGCAGCGTGGGGTCTGCATGCATTGAGCACAAAGGACAGGATGGCTTGCCCGGTGCAATTAGTATTGCTCTGCTGAATTCATGAACCTTAGGGCATGGTTGTGTGGCATGAGACTTCTTGCCAGCAACAACTAAGCCTTCCTGACTTTGTGGATGAGAGGATGTGGAAAGCTTTCTTAACTGTTAATGTCTCAAACCTTATTTTATTTCATTAAGGAAAAAAGTCTGGTTGGTCCATGTGCTGAATATTGGGTCACTTCTGAGGTGCTGCTGTCAAATCTATAAATATCAATACTGATGTCGTAGTCTTCCATTTCTCTTCATCTGTGAAAGCCAGCCTGGTCTTCTAGTTGTTTCACTTGTGCTCCCGTCCCGTATTGGTGGTTGTGAGGCAGGTGATGTGTGGTGCTGGCAGGACTTGGTAAACACTGTCCTGGTATCACTCAGATGCAATTTCCATCTGTGATGCGAGTTGAGCTCCTTTGGAAACAACTTTGCCATGTTACAATTTAGGGCACATTTAGGTTCCTCTTGCTCCCAAGTTTCTTAGAAATCTGCAAGTGCTGTTTCCCAGCATGACACCCGAGTGGAAGTCACGTTGTCTCTTGCGGGCTCGGGTGAGACAGGATGTCTTCTCTTGATGAAGCAGGAGAAATCTCTGTGTTATTGTTGAGTGGTCCTTAAAAATTGTGCCTGCACTGGAGTGAAGATTGGGCATAGAGGTACCAAGCCCCACACTCTCATGGAGGTGGAGTCCGTATGGTTTGTGTCCAGCTGCAGCTCAGGCTCCAAGCATCCGTGCTGAGCTTGGATGAGCTGGAGTTGCTGACACGCTTCCTTATGCCGGCACCTGGTAGGGTTCGTGCAAGCCCTGTGGCAAGCTGGATGGGAGAACTAATGCAGCTGAAAACACATTTTCCCTCCCTGCTTGGTTAGCTCCTGCAGGTCAGTCCCCTCTTCTGGCTCTTGGAGGGGGGATATGGATGCTGGTGCAAGGGAGCGGGTGAGAGCACGCTTGCTGGGAGCGGGTTGGCAGTCACCTTGGATGAAAGCAGAAAACGATTGTAGGAACAGCATGATTGTGGAAGATTGAAGACACGCGAACTCTGCGGTGTGTTCTCCAGCACATGGTTGAATGCACTGTTTTAGCTCAAGCTTGACAACTTGATATAGGGGTGGTGTGAAGGCTTGGTCCTGAGCTAGCTTTGTCCCGTGGCAGAGCTAGAGTAGTTTTTATCACTAAGTTGCCTGCAGCTATGCATCAACCCTGTGTGTTCCCTCTCTCTTTTGAGAGTTTTCAGTGTCAGTTTTAGGATGTGCAATACAGTCTTCTGGAGCATGTGAATATTGCGCTCGTTCTTCTGATAAGTATCTGGCCAAATGCTTATGACACTACGGAATGAAATGCAGAAAAAATTGCACTATCATGCTATGTGTATTGCCTGCCTTCTGTAAGGCTGCTTTGTGGTATGACCACGAATTCCTGCATTTGTGTTATTCTGAATCTGCAGGGACTTGTTAAGAGTAATCTTTTCCCCAAGATATGCACAGTAATGCACTGTTGTGTGCTACAGAACAGCATTTAGCTTTTGATGGCCAGCTCCAAATACCTAGTCTGGTGTTTGGGCTGCCAGGCTAGCCCTTTCCCAGTGCACCTCGGAATATAAATATCAAATGAAGCTGCAATGTGGCAGTTATCCACATTGCCTGTGTAGCAGGAATGTAATGCATTAGTGTAAATATCTGAGTGATGGCAAGTAATTAACTTGTTTTCTGTCCTTGACCCTAATCATGGGCATGGAGCCTGAGCCAGTAGGTTAAGTGCTTAAAAATACTTCTTTAGCAACTCTGCATGAGACCCAAGTTGGTGACTGACAAAAGTACAAAGCATTTTATCTACCTCCTCTTAAAACTGGGAAGTTAAATATCTCCAGAACTTGCATCTACATGGCTAGAGCAAAATGCTGAGATGCGTGGCAGCCTTGACATTAGGCAAAGTGTGTGCTGATCTCACCCCTGGGGTGAAACTTTGGAGATCTTATAGGTTACGCTGTAGTTACTAGAGGATAGGATGGAAACATATTGCACCTTCCTTGGGTCATCGGTTGCCTTGAGACACAGCACAGGTGAAGGGAAGGAATGGACTTACAAGGCCATCCCAATGTGGGCAGCGACAGAAAAGGGCACGCTCTTCGGTTTGGAAGAGGAAAGGAGGGATGATATTTAATCAAATATTTCTTCTTCCAGAAAATGCCCGAAAGAAGCAGGATGGGATTGTGAGCACTTCAATTATTTATTTCACTGACCACTCTCCTCCGCTGCCTCCAAGCTCCCCCTCTATGCTGAAACTCAGGAGCATCCTGGACCTCAGTCCTTTCACAGTGACAGACCAAACACCCATGGAAATTGTCGTGGATATATTCCGCAAGCTGGGATTGCGCCAGTGCCTGGTTACTCACAACGGGTAAGAACTCTGCAGGTACAGACCTGGGGTCCCAGGATTGCCTGTAGACCTGAGTCAAAACCTCCTCTCCTTCCAGTGAACAAAGGCCTCTGATGTGTAGAGCACTGAGCATCAGCTGGAGCAGTTGTTATCTGGAAAAAAGCAATTGTGAACCCCTGAGCCTCTTTCAGTTGAAGGAGTAACATAAAGCCTGTAAGGCGAAGGCACAGCTCTGTAGGGTGGTGGGTCTCCAGAACTGATGGAAAGGGCTCACGGCCTCCTCTCAAATCTGGCCATGTGTATCATGTAACTACATGAATTTGCTTTGTTGTCGGTCAGAAACAGCGTGTTTGGCGAGGTGGGAAGGAAGGAGGGCAAAGATAGAAACCGAGCGATCTGTTCCCTGAAGGGTGGCACCAGCAGGAATTCTCTCCCTGTTCCCTGCTGCAGTGCATTTGGACCAGCTGATCTTTTCAGCTCCTGACAGACAGCCGCATTGCTCAGCGTCACTCCCCAGCAGACGTTCTGCCCAATTCCCTAGTTCCTAGCATGCCTCTTGGCACCTTTTTGAAAGCACAGCTACTGAAAGTACTAGGACTTAAAATGCAGCACTAGACATCAGGTTGATCTTTTCAGAGAAGGTGGGTGTTAATAATTATTAGTATTTGTCATTTGGTTATAACCTCCTTACCTCTTTTATTGTAAAATACTGATAGAATTTCTGTTGGGGCTTGTGAGCACCATACTTTGTGTGGAGTGTCAGCGCTGCGTTCCAAAAAGGCACTTCAACTACTGCAATGCATTAAAATTGCCCTACATGAAGCTATGCGAGAGCAAGGATACCTTCTGTGGGTGTTGATGTGCTAAAAATGTGTTTTCATTTTTCAGGAAGCTACTCGGGATCATTACCAAAAAGGATGTATTAAAGCACATTGCACAGCTGGCTAACCAGGACCCAGATTCTATACTCTTCAATTAAAGGCAGATTAGTAGGTATTGTGTGTTCAACACAAAAGAAACTTTCTAGAGGATCCTGGATATACTTTCCTATTTTTATTGAGACCATGGAACTGTTTTCAGCGTTTCCTTCCGTGGAGCTGAAGAAGATAATTTTTTTTTCTACCAGATAACCAATTGCACTACATAGTCTGTGGAACATAATCTTCTTTTTAGAAGAAAAAAAAGACTTTACGTTGCTTTTGTGAAGTTGCATTGGGAAGATTCCATGAAGGAGTAAAAGCAAAATGCTATAGAATTGTATCTCCTCTTCTTATTTTATTTGAACTCGTTACTAACGTCGCGGGGGGGAAGACAAGGTCTATACCTTCAGAAATTTTGAAGGAGAAGGATGATTTTGCACGCAGCATTCGGGTGGTGGCAGAAAGATGTGGTTGTGACTCAGGGGTGGTATATTTCCAGTTAGCCACTTGGTAAAAATAAGAACCTTATAAAGTCAAAATAGGGGAGGGAAATAAAAAGAATGGGCTAGCTGAGGATGTTTTGCTGAAAGAAGGAAAAAAAAACCCAAAACCCCCAGAAGACCAGATCTTCTTAAAATTGGGCCCAGTTTCTGATTGGCAGGAAGCTTATTTTGATTAATATTCTGTGAATGTATTTAATTACTCTGATGCTGCCTTGCCAGGAGAACCCCAAGGAGGAGGCAGAAGGAGTTAACAGCTGTATTCTCGTTGTGATCCCTTTTTAAGATATACGCCTAAGGATTTCATCTCCTTGATTTCCCTTGAGCATGTAATTAAAATCGCAAAGGCTGAGTCCTAAGTTATTGCCCTGCCTTTACTGCACTTCCCAGTAAACTCTGATCATGTTAGATATTGCACAACTGACCTCTTCCTCAATCAGCAGTGTCTTAGGTGGCTGAGGATGTCCTCCTGGAGAGCCCTGCGCCCGGGACGTTTACATGGATGCGTGTGCTGTTCCCTGCTCCTCTCCTCAGCCCCGCACCCAACTCAGGCCCGGATCCTGGCTGTAGGATTGGCAACACTGCCACTTTATGTACGTACACCACTCGGTGTCTCTCCTTTTGCCAACAACTATGCAATAAAGCCCTTCCTGACCACTGTCAGCCAAGTAACTCGTTCCACATCTGTGCTCCTCAAGTCCCTGTCCCAGATCTTACCAAATTATTTTCCTGTTAATAAAATTGTGACCGTTTACTGGAATTTTGGAGGTATATGAATGCTTTCAGAGGTCGATGTTCATCATGGCTTCAGTCCGTAGCAGATGCCATTTTACGGTCTGTGGCTGAGGCTCGTCGGTGGCAGCAGCAGGTTCCTCTCACCTCTGGCTCACCACCGAGGCTGCAGAAGGGAGCCAAGCTGTTGAGCAATGGCCAAGAATTAAGGAGTGGGGGCTCTGACTCTGCTTCCTGACAGACAAACCTCAGGCTGTTGAGCAGGTGTTGCACTTCGCACAGCCTCAGCCGCAGAGGCCGTGGTAACAACTCCCCTCGTCCCAGGCTGAGGCTTCGTGGCAGGAGGTGATGGGCTCTCCATGTGAGGCTGCTGCTGCTGCCCATGATAAAGCTGTTTTTTGGGGGAGTGGGGACTCCTGGCTAGAGTTGGCTGCAAGTTTGATCAATCTTAAACTCTCTCAAATATAAACAAATTCCTCATCTCTCCTTGGAGCAGAAGCCGGCTCATTTATTTTTCAAAGCCATCCAACAATGAGTACCTGCTGCCACTGCTTTAACCTGGCAGTGAGGTGGTGATGTCTTGAGTTCTTGTATAGCTTAAAGCTGAATCAAACCAAGAAGTTACTAATGGATCAGATACCTTCTGCTTAGAAAATAAATGCCTTGACTGTGTCTGTGGTGGTTTCGTACAGCAGGAGGTGGTTGCTGAGTTGAAACAAAGACCGCAGCGTGCCCGTAAGTCGCAACTTGAAATGCTTTGTGTTCTGCCTTGGCTGTGGCTGGCAGCAGAAGCTTTGCCTTTAAATGTTTGGGTTTTTTTGTCTGCTTTGGAGAGGGTTGTCCCCTGTGAGTCTGGCTCTGAGTCCAGGGAAGAAGCCGCCTTCTTCCACTTCCCCGGGGGTGTCTGCACTGGAAGAGGCTGGGGATGCCTGTCCTGTGCATGCAGGCTTCTCTTCCCTGCGGCATGCTTGGAACAGGAGAAAGACAAAGTTGGGTTTTTTTTCTACTTTTCTGCTTGCTTTACAATATGCAGGAGGGCTCTAGCTTGAAAAATACGGTCCCTGCTTCAATTAGATCCACGATACACGAGAGCCCATTCCTCTCATTCTTGTGGGAAGGCTGCTGTAGCCTGGTGCAAAGGTAAGGGCAAGAGGTGCCAAAAGGGAAACCCGTGAGCAGGCTGGAGCATCTCAGCTGGCTGGTGGGTTATCCCAGATGCTCTTGGGGAAGCGGCAGGGCAGGGAGTACACCATCAGAGGGGGACTGCAGCTGCTCTGCCATCTGAGCATGGGAGCACTGGAAATGGGAGCTCAGGGCAGGAAACACCTGCCCAGCAGCAGCACAGGGGCTCTGCCAGCAGGCAAGCTCCCAGATCGGCGTGCCTGTCGCGGCTTTTTTTTTCTTTTTTTGCGTGGGAGAGGTGTCCTCGGGAGGCTGGCCTGAGAAAATCCTGCACAGGAAGGTGAAAGTGTGGGAAAACACCGGCCGTGGCTTTGCAGGAAAGCCCGGTAAAGCTGGGCTTTAGAGAGGCTCAGTCCTTGGTGCGGGCAGGATTTCGACTCCCTGCAATGATGAACCAAACATGGCGATGGTGGGCGAGTAAAAGAGAAATGTTGCAATGGTATGAGACCTTTCTTTGCGTCTTGTCTTCCTCTCTTCACACTTGCTTCTTTTTAATGTGGAAACATAATTTTCCTCCAAATGGGAATGTATGCTTTAATGGCTGGAGGTCCGGTACACGTGGGCAAGGTGGGAATAGGAGCTTAGAGTGTGACTTTGTAGTTCTTCTGTCTGTACGTGAAAACCTGCTGACCCCATTAACCAACATAAGTGGTGTCCATGTAAGGAAAATACTCATTTCAGCTCCAGACCTGTTTCTAAGCTGTGGTTCTCTGTGTAGGGAAACTTGCAGCAAAACTACCTGTTTGTTGTTATTACATTAGCTACAGTGGTGATGCGCTGTGCCCAGAATGTGAGGCTCGTGAGGGGATTATGCGGGTAGAGATGTATAGCTCTCTACTGGGGTTGGTGCCTTCCCTTCCCCAGTGAGATAACGGGTTATAGAAACTCCTGGCTGTTTGCTGTCTGCTTTTATTGAATTCCTTTAATTCCTACAAAAATAAGTTCAACTCTTTAATCAAAAGTTCTGTGCAGGGGAGAGACGGTACTCAAGTTTTTTAACTCGAGCGTTTTCTCCGTTGGCCCTCATCAGCAGTGCTGGCTGGGAAGGGGTTCCCCTTCCATGGGGCAGTTCGAGCTGCTGCAAAGAGGTTTTTTTGCCTCGTCCAGTTCTTGTTTTTCCATTGCTTTACCTTCAGAGCGACTCCAGGAGGAGCCCTGGGGTTTCTTTTCCGCAAACAGTGGGTTATATAAGTCATACATAGCTGGAGACAACCCATACACTTCATAAATAACACCAAGCCTGCGATCTCCTTAGCTAAGCATGAAACGTTGCTTGCAGCACTGGGTTGAACCACCAGAGATAAGGCTGAGGTTGATGCTCTTGTAAATGCCTTTTTCATCTGTTGCTGAAACCTCCGAACTCCAGGGGGGATGCTCCGTGCGAGGAGGTGGCTGTAGGGCACCCTCCTCTTTACCCTCAACCAGAAGAGGAAGGGACCTGGCAGGGCAG